GAATTTTGAGCCATGGAGCAACTAGCAATGCAGTCTTCCTCTAAACTGCCATCTTGAATCCTTTTTTTTTTTTTTTCCTTGAGTCAGGATCTTGCTAAATTGCTGAGCCTTACTTTGAACTTGGAATCCTCCTGCCTTAGCCTCCTGAGCTGCTAGGATTACAGGCATGTGTCACCATGCCAGGCACATTTTTACTTCTTCTTTTGAGAAGTGTCTGTTCAGCTCATTTGCCATCTGTTGATTAGATTACCTGTCCTTTTGGTGTACCATTTTTTGGGTCCTTTATATATTCTGGATTTTAATCCTCTGTCAGATGAGTAGCTGGCAAAGATTTTCTCCCATTCAGGAGGCCCTCTCTTCACTCTTGATTTTTTTTCTTTTGCTCTGTACAAGGTTATTAATTTGATGTAATCCCATTTGCTGATTCTTGCTTTTGTTTCCTGAGCTACTTGAGGCCTGTTCAGGAAATCATTGCCTATACTTATATCTCAAAGTGTTTCCCCTATATTTTCCTTTAGTGGTTTCAAGGTTTCAGATATTACATTAAGGTCTTTGATTTATTTTTACTTGACTTTTGTATAGGGTGAGAGATAGTGATCTAATTCCAGTCTTCTACAGGTAGAAGTCCTATTTTTCCAACACCATTTGCTGAAGAGGCTATCATTTCTCCAATTTTTGTTTTTGTCTCTTTTATCAAAAATCATATGGCTATAGAATGCATAGGTTTATTCCTGGGTTCTCTATTCTATTCCATTGGTCTACATGTCTGTTTTTTATGCCAATACCATACTGGTTTTGTTACCATTATTCTATAGTATATTTTGAAATCAGGTATTGTGATATCTCCAGAATTGTTCTGTTTGCTAGAATTGCTTTGGTAATTCAGTGTCTTTTGTGTTTCCAAGTGAATTTCAGAGTTTTTTTTTTCTAGCTAGTTCTATTAAGGATGTCATTGGAAATAAAAAAAAAGGATGTCATTGGCATTTTGATGGGAATTGCAATGAATCTGTATATCACTTTTGGTAGTATGGCCATTTTAACAATATTAATTCTCCCAATCCATGAATATGAGATATCTTTCCATCATCTAGTGTTTTCTTCAACTTCTTTTTACTGTGTTTATAATTTTCATTATGGATGTCTTTCACCTTTTTAGTTGTTTATTCATAGATGTTTGTGTGTGCGCTCATGTGAATGTGTGTGTGCACACACACGCTCGCACACACACACATATGAGTCTATTATGAATGGGATTGTTTTCCTTCTTATTTTTTAATCTTTTTTTGGTGTATATATGTGTGTGTGTGTGTGTGTGTGTGTGTGTGTGTGTGGTGCTGGGGATTGAGCCCAGGGCCTTATTCCTTATACATACTAGGTAAGTGCTCTACTACTGAGCTATACCTCCAGCCCTGTTTTCCTGATTTCTTTCTCAGCAAAATAATTGTTGGTATATAGGAAAGCTACCTATATGTTTTCATATGTTGATTTTTGTATCATGCTACTTTGCTGAATTTATTAATTCTAAGAGATTATTGTGGACTCTTTGGGTTTTCTGAGTGTAGAATAATATCATCTGCAAACAGGGATGCTGTATCTTCCTCGTCTCCTGTTTGTATTACTTTTATTTCTTTCTTTTGCTTGATTGCTGTGGCCAAAGTTTCCAACACTATATAGGAATAGACAAATGGTAAGAATGAACACTCTTGTCTTATTCCTGTTTTTAGAGGAAATACTTTACTTCCTCCCACCCCCCCCCCATTGGCAATGGATTTGTTGTGGGTAGCCTTATTATGTTGAGGTATCATCTAGTTTATTCAGGATTTTTATCATGAAGGGATGTGGAATTATTGAAGGTTCTTCCAGCATCTATTGAGATGATGTAGTTTATGTGGTATATTACATTATTGATTTGTGCTTCTTGAATCAACTTTACATTCCTGGAATGAAGCCATTTTCATCATGGTGTATGATCTTTTTCATTGATGTTGAATTCAACTTATAAATAACTTATTGAGGATTTTTGCATCTGTGGGCTCATCAAGATTATTGGTCTATGTTATTGTAATTTGGGATTACAGGTGTGCACTATTGTGTCTGGCAGTCTGTGTCTTTTAATTGAGGAATGCAGACCATTTACACTCTTGGTTGTTGTTGTTGTTGTTATTATTATTTAAACATCAGGCCCAGTTCTTATTTTTTAAAATATTTTTTTAGTTGTCAATAGACTTTTATTTTATTTGCTTTTATGTGGTGCTGAGAATTGAACCCAGTGCCTCACACATGTAGGCAAGCGCTCTACCGCTGAGTTACAACCCCAGTCCTGGTTATTATTGAAATGTTCCAGTTCCTTACATTTTGTTGTTTTTCTTTTGGTTGTTTTGAGAATTTTATATTTTTCCCTTTCCCTCATTCATCTTAGGGGTTTGATGATTTACTGAAATAATCAGTAAAGAGAAGAGGCTGTTAAGTCTTAGAGATTTAAAAATGTAGGGTCCCTTCCTATTTTTGATTTGCATAAGTACTCTTCTAGTGCAATTTATTCTTTCCTATGCTTTTGTGGTTGTATTTATCTTGCTTCCTCCTCTAGGCATAGGATTCCTTTGAATATCTTCTGTAATGCTGATTTAGGGGTCATGAATTCTTTTAGTTTATGCCTATCTTGGAAGGTCTTTATTTCTTTTTTCAATTCTGAAAGATAAATTTGCTGGACATTGTCATCTAGGTTGGCACTTACAGCTTTTTAGGCCTTGAAATGTATCATTCCATTCCTTCTGGCCTTTAGAAGTTCTCAGAAATGTGCTGCTGTTCTTGTGGGTTCGTCTTCATAAGTGAATTGATGCTTCTCTCTTGTAACTTTTATTACTCTGTACTTTTGGTATTTTAACTATGATATGTTATGGAGAGGTTCTTTTCTGGTCATGTCTGTTTGAAGTTCTAAGTGTGTCAAGGTTTAGGTATGAGGTTTAGATATGAACTCATATGTGAGACAATGCAAGAAGATTCAGAGGTGAAGTGATTAGATGATGATAGTTATAATCCAGTCAGTGGATTAATCTTCTTATATGGATTAACTGAATAATAACTGAAGGTAGATAGGCTGTGGCTGGAAGAGATGAGTTTTAAGATGGGTATAAGCTTTTGGGGCTTATGCTTTGTCCCCAGTGAGTGGAGCTCTATTATTGCTTTCTGATTTCCATGTCCTGAGGTGCTTTCCTGCTCTACACTCTTCCACCATGATGTTCTGCCTCACCTCAGACCCATAGCAATGGAGTTGGCCATCTGTGAACTGACCTCTGAAACCATGAGTGCCAAATGAATTTTTCCTCTTCTAAATTGTTCTTGTCAGGTTTTGGTCACAGTGGTGAAAAAGCTGAATAAAACAAAAATGGTTCTACTATCTGGATCTCCATATCATTCTCATGATTTGAAACATTTTCTGTCATTATTTCACTGACAAGGAAGAACAAAACAACACAGAACCAAAAAAAGACAAACACAAGAACAAGAAAAGTCAAATGTTCCTCCTTGATATGATATTTGAAATTGAGATGCTTCTTTCCCAGACCTCTACTTTTGGAATCTGCCAGGTATGGGGTGGGTCATGAGTCTCAACTGCAGTCCAGTGTGTTTCTTCTTACTTCCGAACAAATCAATTATAGCAGTATTTAGGCTGAGTCCCCACTGCATATTTGCCCACTGGCTCAAGCTAAACCAAAGTTGTCTATAGCTGGGACAACTTTAAGAGAGAAAAATTTAAGAATGGGAAAAAATCTTTGTCACTTGCACCTCAGAGCACTAATCTCCAGGAAATATAAAGAACTCAAAAACTTAACACCAAAAACAAAACAAATAATCCCATCAATAAATGGGCAAAGGAACTGATCAGACACTTTACAGAAGAAGAAATACAAATGGTCAACAAATACATGAAAAAATGTTCAACATCACTAGCAATTAGAGAAATGCAAATTAAGGCTACACTGAGATTTCATTTCATTCCAATCAGACAGGCAATTATCAAAAATACAAGTTACAATAAGGGTTGGTGAGGAAGTGGGGGAAAAGGCACACTCATCCATTACTGGTGGGACTGCAAATTGGTGAAACCACTCTGAAAAGCAGAATGGAGATTCCTCAGAAAACTTGGAATGGAACCAAAATTTATCCGACTCCTCAGCACATACCTAGAGGACTTAAAATCAACATACTATAGTGACATGGCCACATCAATGTTCATAGCAACTCCATTCACAATAGCCAAGCTTTGGAACCAACCTGGGTGCCTTTCAACAGATGAATGGATAAAGAAAATGTTGTATATAAACACAATTGAATATTACTCAGCCATAAAACGTAGTGAAATTATGGCATTTGACAGGAAATGGATGGAACTGGAGGATATCATGCTAAGTGAAATTTTCCAGTCCCACCAAACCAAAGGGCAAGTGTTCTCTCTGATATGTGGATGCTGACTCTCAATAGGTGGTGGTATAGGGGGTAGACAAGGAGAGAAGAGTGGAGGTTCACTGGATTGAACTGGGACAATATGGGGAAGAAATGGGGGATGAGAATGGGAAAGACAATAGAATGAACTGGACACAACTCTCCTATGTTCATGTATGAATACATGACTAGTGTAACTCCACATTATGTACAACCACATGAATGGGAAGTTATACTCCATGTGTATATGATATGTCAAAATACATTCTTCTGTCTTGTATAATGAAAGGAAAAAGAAAAAATAAGTAACCCTTTTCCCCATATTTTTATATTTTTTTCCTTCTGTGACTTCCATAATGCAATCATTTGTTCACTTGATGTTGTCTCATGAGTCCCTTGATGGCTGTCTTGACTCCTTTTAATTTATTTTCTTTTTCCTCTGACTGAGTGATTTCAAAAAGACCTATCTTCAAGTTCACAGATTCTTTTATTTTGCTTGCCCTATTCTTCTATTAAAGCTTTTGATTGTATTTTTAATTTTGTCTTTTTTTTTTCAGCTCCAGGATTTCTGTTTGCTTCTTCTTTTATGGCATTTATCTCCATTGAATTCCTCATTCAGGTAATGAATTTTTTTCCTAACATCACTGAATTGTCTATTTGTATATAGCTAAGTTTTCTTAAGATCATAATTTTGAATAATTTTATAGGTGATTAATACATTTCCATTTCTTGGGGGTTAGTTTTTTTTGGAAAATTATTATGTTCCAATAATGTGCTGTTATGTTTCCTTGCTTTTTCATTTTCTTGTGGCCCTGCATTGATCTTAATGAATTTTTTGCTACTGTCACCTCTTCAAACTTAAGACTGGTTTTTCAAGATTTTTACCTGGGGATGGACCTGAGGATGCTGTTTGGGCAGTGTAAAGTGGTTCTGGTTCCATGTGGGTACAGTGGTATGACCTCTATGCAGCTTCTTCAGTTGTCATCAATTTAGCTGTGACTGGTTGCCTCAGCAGTGTGGGTGCTAGATGTTTGTGGCACTGATAGTGGCTGCAAAGTTGTTTAGGGAAAGAGCTTTAGGAATCTTCCTGTTCTTGTCTTCTTCATAGTGGAGAGTCTTTGATGAGGTGATCTCTCTTAGTTTAGGGTCTGACATATCTCACAGGCACCCACAAACAGCACTGGGATTCAGGGCACAGGTGCATATGGTGACTGTGGAGCCAGATTCCTAGGATCATGGCCTTGCAAAACTACCATATCACCTGAATTGTAGGGTCATTCTCCAAGACATGAGTGAATGCAGTTCTACTATGCCAGGATTTGTTGTTTTGAAGCATACTATGGCAGCTCAGGCTCAGAGGGCTGGGATATAGTTATGGTTCTGATTCTGGGTGGTAAGAGGACGAACTGGCATGGCTCCAAAGAAGTGTTTTGGAGGCCCAGGCCTTAGGGACCAGGGCACAGCTATAATTTGAACCAGTAGACCACAGTGGCAGCTCCCACTTCAGGATGAGGTACTCTGCAGTTGAGACTCTGGATCCTGGGATAGTGAGATACAGCAGTAGCCCAGCTCTGTGAGGCTTGGTGCAGCAGTAGCAAGGACCAAGGAATGGCAATATGTCTGGGGGTGCAGGAAAATAGCACAGCAATGACTTCACTTCCCACAGAGGGAAGTATCTCAGCAGCTTGGTCTGTTAGGGGCTAGTCTAGTTCTGACTAGTATGGAAGAACATCATACTAGTTCAGCCAAGATTCTGATTCCCTGGCATGTGAGGCACCATATCTCCTTGGCCTCAGAAAGTGTGACTACATGGGTCTATGGAGCCTCTGGATACTTTCGGTTGAGACCCTGCATTAGATATTATGCTGAAAGATGAAGCTGCTTCTGTGCCAGAGGCTTGGAGTTCATAGGGGGTGGCTGCTGCCTCACTTGTGACACAAGGGAGTATGTTTGCTCCACATGCAGGTGGCTTGAGATTCCTGGCTAGTGGTGTGCTGCCTCAGCTTTGGCACTAGGGGTATGACTATTCTAGTAGTCTGAGACTCTGGCTCTTTAGGGATGGGTACCACTTCAGCTCAGCCATAGGGGCACAGTGCATCAGTGAACTGGGAGAGGAGGATGGAGCAATTCTGATGTAGCTTGCCCTAGGGGCAATAGCTCTGCTTAGGGATCATGTGCTAACTGGTGGGAGTGGTTTGGTGGAACCTCAGAATGAAGAGGTGCAATGGCTATTTTCACTTGGAGCAGGACACAGTCTAGGAGTATCTCTGTTTCCCAGATGGTGAAGCTCAGAAGCAGCACAGGAAGTTGAGCATAGTATCAGTGCCTTCTCTGGAAGCAGCTCAGAATGTGGCCTCAGGGGAACTCCCACAGTAGTGAAGACACTTGATGTCTGTGGTGGTGATGGGGCTGTTGGGGTCCTTTGCCTTGCCTTTTCTGCTGCAGGTTGAAATCCCACCTAGTTTGTGGCTTACACTGACTGGGGGAATGGGTTGGTAGAGGCAAAGTGTGTTTCTTCCCTTCTATATATGGCTATCCTGGGTTTCTGTGCTCTGCAAGATTTCTGATACATCTTTGCTATTCTCCACTGCTCTCCTTTAGTTATTTTGGTTGAAATGTAGTTTATTGATTGCTTTGGGGTTTTTGTTGGAGGCAAGAATTGTAGGAGTGTCTTGTCCCCCATCTTGCTGACGGGCGCCCCAATGTGAATTCTTCACTTACCAAAGTTTAATGTTAATCAGTACTTTTCCTCTCCTCCCAGAAAACAAAAGGACCTTTGGACTCATTTCATCTATCCCTTCCAGCTTTTGTATTTTTGTTTTCAGATATTTAATGCTATGTGTATGTTAATTAAACCCAAAGGATAGTATCATTTTTATATAGTGCTCAGTTAAATATTCCACGACATTTACTGTTGGTTTTTGTTTTTGTTTTGTTTTTTGCCTTCACTTCTTTTTACATCTTAAACTCTTTAGCTAGGATCATTTTCCTTTATTCTAGTTATCATTTAGAGTTTACTTTAATGAAGCAATTTTAGCTCAACCTCTTTTTTTTCAGTTTCAGTTTATCCCCAAAGTTAAAATTTTGAAAAGTAAATCTGCTATGAGCATTTGTGTGTTAATCTTTGAACATGTATTTTCATTTCTTCTAGGTAGTTTGCTAGGAGGAAAATTGCTGCATTGTATGACAAATATATGTTTAAATTTTTAAGAAACTGCCACACTTTTCCAAAGTGGCTGTATCAGCTTACATTTCTGTTAGTAGTAGCAAGCTCTCAGTTTCTGTATATCCTTGCCAACATTGTATTATCAGTATTTTTTATTATATCTGTTCTAATAGGTATGTAGTGGTGTGTTATTAACGTTTTAATTTCAGTTCCCCTAATAATGAATGATTTTGAACATCTTTTCATGGGTTTATTAGTCATTTATTTATCTTCTTTGGTGGAAGAGATTACAGGTGTGCACCACTGTGTCCAGCTAGATATAAACCTAGTGCTTTTAAGTGTAAACTAAACGTTGACTCTAGGAGCTCTTCATCATCTCTAGGTGCTTCATCCATGAGTTTTTATTGGTATAATTTAGGGTCCCCAAGAAAGAATATAGAAATTGCCCTTTAAGGTTGCAAATATCTCTAGCCATCTTATAAGCTGAGGATTAGTCATGCCTTGAAGAAAGAGGGGAAAAAAAGAGAATGTCTTAAAAAGGATAACTCTCTTCTTCAAATTTGCCTGCTTTTCAATTTTTTTCCTTTTTTTCAAAAATATGCTTTATTTTTTTAAGAGAGAGAGAATTTTTTAATATTTATTTTTTAGTTTTCAGTGGACACAACATCTTTATTTTTATGTGGTGTGGAGGATCGAACCCAGTGCCCTGTGTATGCCAGGCGAGCGCGCTACCGCTTGAGCCACATCCCCAGCCCCCCAAAATATGCTTTATTTTTAAGAGCAGTTTTAGATTCACAGCAAAATTGGCTGGAAAGCACAGAGTTCCTATAAATCTCCTGCCTCTGCATATTCACTTTCCTCCCCATAGCTACCAACATCCCATTGACACATGATTATCCAAGTCCATAATTTACATTAGTGTTCACCTTTGGCATTGTATATTCTATGGGTTTTTTCAAATGTATAATGACATTTGCCTCCCATTATAGTATCATAAAAAGACTTTTACTCTCCTAAATATCCTTTGTTCCACTTATTCATCCTTCCCTTCCCTTTAACCTGTGGCAACCATTGATCATTTACTGTCTTTTTTTCTAATTTGTCTTTTCTGATTGTAATCATACAGCCTATAGACTTTTCAGATTTCTTTTTTCATTTAGTAAAATGTATTTAAGGGTCTTCCCTGTCTTTTCATGGTTTAATAGTCTATTTCTTTTTACTGCTGAATAATATTCCATTGTCTGATGTTCCACATTACTTACTGAAGGACATCTTGTTTGCTTCCATGTTTTGACAATTATAAATAAAGGTGCTATAAATATTTGGGTGCAGATTTTTCTGTGGGAATAATTTTCCAACTCCTTTGGGTAAATACTAAGGAGTGGCAATTACTGGGTTGTATGGGTGAGTATGTTTAGTTTTGTAAGAAACTGCCAGACTTGCATTCCCACTCTCAAGTGGAAATTCCTTTGGTCCTCCATCTTCCCCAGAATTGGCTGTTGCCAGGGTTTTGGATTTTGTCTATTCTAATAGGTCTATAGTGCAATCTCATTGTTTAAATTTTCCCTGATGACATATGCTGTGGAGCATCTTTTCAGGCACTTATTTTTCATTTGTCTATCTTTTTTGATTATGTGTTTATTTGAATAAAGTCTTTTACTCATTTAAAAAATTGGGTTGTTTCCTTATTATTGAGTTTTAAGAATTCTTTACACATTTTAGATAAATAGTTCTTTATCAGATGTGTCTGTGGCAAATATTTTCTCCTGGTCTTGCCCTTTAAATGTTTTGCCTTTTCATTCTCTTGACAGTGTCTTTCTTAGAGCATAAATTTTAATGAAGTCCTGCTTATCATTATTATTCATGGGTTATGCTTTTGGTGTTACATCTAAAAATTCATCACCAAACTCAAGGTCATCTTGATTTTATCTTATGCTGTACTATAGAATTATTATTGTTTTGCATTTTACATTATGTCTGTGATGAATTTTTAGTGAATTTTTATGAAGAATGTAAGGTCTGTGTCTAGGTTTTATTTTTTCCTTTTCTTTTTTCATACGGAGGTCTAGTCATTCCTGCACTAGTTGTTGAAAGGACTGTCCTTGTCTTGTCTTTATTACTTTCTTGTAAGTTTTGAAGTTGGGAAGTTTCAATTCAATGATTTTATTTTTCTCTTTCACTATTGAGTTGTCTATTCTGGGTCTTTTGCCTCCATATAAAATTTAGAATCAGTTTGGTGATATCCGAAAAATAACTGGCTGGGAATTTTGATTGAGCTTGTATTGAATCTTTAGATCAAGTTTGGAAGAACTGAGATCTTGATAATATTGAATCTTCCTTTGCATGTACATGGAATATCTCTGCATTAGTTCTTCCTTGATTTCTTTCATCATTTTTTAAACTTTTCATTACATACACACACACACACACACACTTTTATATTTTTACTTACA